GGAAAACGGCAAATTTGCAAATTACGCCTTTACGCATAATAATTATAAAATATTTATCCTGGATCAGTCCTATTGCTGGTATTTTTTATAATTTGTTTTGTTGTTGCTAACTCATTTTCCTTCAATTCATTATGTAGTTCTCTGTTCAACTATTATTTTGTTATCTATTTGTCCCTGCTGACTTATAGTTTTTTCTTTTCAATTTATTTTGTAATTGATTTTGTTGTTGTTATCTAGGGTGTATATTTTTTACACTAGTTTTCTTATTGTTATCCGATTCAAACTTTTATAATTGTTTCGCAAGTCAGCTTATTGTTATTGTTACCGTCGCCAAGCTCATATTTGTGAACAAATATCTGTTTTTGTCCGGTTAAATTATCGGTACCATTTGAAACGCATTACTTCTACTCTTTGTAATGTTTTATTATAGTATGCTTCAAGTTTTTTCACTTAAAAGCTATGTAAGCATTCTCTTTTTTCAAAAAAAGGGGGATGTTTGGGAAGTAAGTTCCAGTTATAGCCGCTAGATGGCACCACCGGTCAGCCCGACCTGTCACTGTACCGTACCTGTCATGTCAGTCAGTTCTGTCTTGGATTTGGACCATTAAACACCTAAGCTAACTTGTGTCTGTCAATCGAATCCCGCTCACCACACAGCGCAGAAGCCGTTTTGGTTCTTACTTTTGTTCTTTGACTTCCGGGCCAGGGATTCGTTGAAATACCCTATTAATTATATTGATAATACATGAAACATACGGGAGTCATATATATTGCCATTTCCCATATATTTCCCATTTTACAAGAGTATTGCCATGAGTTTCATCAGATTAACAATGGACGCAGCATTAGCAGGCAAGACCAAAGAAGGAGGGTGCAGGCTGTTCCTGCTGGCGTCGAGGAAGAAGGTCGAACCGTGCTTCCAGGAGAAGTTGCCTGAGTCGTGCTGGGTTGCTCTGTGGTCGGGGCACCTGTTAGAGACGAATAAAAGAGCAGAAAGGTCTATAATAAAGAAACATAAAAACACACTGTGAACGAAGGAATCCCTTTTTTTAGTGATATTTTGACATTTGATGTGTCGGGGTTTGTAAAATTATGTTTACTTTGTCTTACTATAAATTCTGATTCTTTAAATTAAGATGTTTTAAAAATATGTTAACGATAAGTATTTATTGTTGATGAAATGAGAGGCTTGCTGAACCCAGCGCGGTGGGGAGGGGCGAAGGCAGTGCACTCATTGATTTGTGAGCAGTCTGGCTGGAGCAGTCCGCGCGTCCGTGCGACACTCACCAATGAACTCCACGGGCATGTCGTCGGTCCAGTAGCTGGGCCTCACCCTTAGCGTGCGGTAGTCCGACGCCACCGGCACCACTGCGACGTCGAGCGGCTGCCCTTTCCGCCACACCGCTAACTCGCTGGATCGGTGCTGCAGCTCCAGCTCTATTTCGCCGGGAGGAAACTCGTCATCCGACAAATTGAAATTCTGAACAGAAATGACAAGGCAAGCACTGAAAATAATTTTCGAAAAGAGCAATTTCGGCCCTTTTTTGTGCAGGCTAGAAATAAAGGAATCTTCAGGAATAGTTGATGACCATGTCATTGCCATCACGGTAAAAACGGTACCTGGGTTTCCCAGGAAGCCTATGGTAGAGACATAAGCGATTTCCAGGGAGTTTCTGGGAACACCAGGAACCGTTTATACCGTGCATTCAAACGAACGTGTCAAATTTCACCTCCAGACGAACATTCCCAAGGTCCTACCGAGCTTTTTCTCTGCAATACGATCAAAGAGCTTCTTATAAGGACAGGGTAGCGAAGGTAGTAACAAAACGTGAAGAGTTCTCAGCGGTTCTCAGTGACTTATGAACAGTTTCCTCGTACACTGGCAAAACTAAAGACGCTTGACGTCAAGCGTAGAGAAGAAATCCTCCCATGCATTTAGGTAGGCGGGAGAGAGGCGAAATGGAGAACTAGTAGTTCTACTACGCTTGAAGAAAGGCATAAAAGTACGCTTGAGTTCTACCGGTGCATCACGAAGAAATTTCTCGGTTCTATGATTAGATTTACATCACAGTGAGAATCAGCCATTATGACTGCGTTTATGTAGAATTTTGTACGTGCCACTTGCACGATTATGTGCATGCGGGGAATTTGCATAATAGTGTGCGTGAAAATGCATAATTTTTTGCAAATTCACGCACAATATTATGCACGACGGGACACAAGTTTAAAATTATGCATCATCACGTACAAAATTGTACATAAACATTTAGTGTGTGCGCAGCTTTTCTCAGTAGGAAATCCGGAATGAATGCGACGTCTCGTTAATGAAGAGCGCATCGCCACTTTCGAGGACACTTACTCTATAGCGTGCTGCGTCCCAGCAACACGGCCTTATGTCAACCACGAAGGACACATCACCCAAGAGAGTGCTTGCGAGCATGCGCCTCCTTGGAGTGTGCTTGCCATGCATGCTTCAGGGAAGAGTGAGCTTCGAGGGGTGAATCACTAGTGTACTCATGTGTACAAATTTGCCCGTACTCAGTGTACTCACAAGTTTAAAAAAGGCGAAATTCTGGCAGTTTTTTCACCGCTTTAACGTCGAGTGCCGTTAAAGACGCTAAATAAAGCCTGAAAACGTTTGAGATTATGAAATTTGTGAGCAAAGCCAGGTGTACTCACCCGTACTCATGTACTCTTGTGTACACCAGAACGCTGAGTGATTCACCCCTCGGTGTGCTTGCAAGCACTCTCTTGGGTGAAGCGACGCTTTGTGGTTGACTCCTAGGTGCAGCATGCCATGCACTCTCTTGAGTTTCTAGAGCATTTTGGGCTCTCACCGAAGAGCTGTTGCCGCAGCCCCTGCCGAAGAGGTTGCACCTCGTCGCCGTCAGGTATCTCAGCTTCCCGTAGCGCCCCGTCCCTCTCAGCGACAACTCGCTGCAGTACTGGCGGCCGCACAGGTGCAGCTCGATCGCCAGGTGCTCCTCGGCGTATCGGACGCGGGCTCCGACCGTGGCGTTGTCGGCGGGCAGGTGCACCTCTGGCAGCGCTACGGAAAATGCGGGGTTGACGTCATTGCGTGCCTCCACTGAGAATCCAATCGCCGTGAGCTCAGCGTCCATTGGTGAAATGCGTTTGAGCCCATTGTCATCGCACCAATTGGTGCATTTCTTTTGCATTGCACGTAAAATGCAATGCTTTCACACTAAATGTTTATGTACAATTTTGTGCGTGCTGATTCATAATTTTAAACTTGTGTGCCGTCGTGCATAAAATTGTGCGTGAATTTGCATAAATTTGTGCATTTTCACGCATAATATTATGCAAATTCCCCGCATGCACAAAATCGTGCAAGTGGCACGTACAAAATTCTACATAAACATTTAGTGTGTTCCCACTGGCATAGGGTATTTTCAGGACGCATCCAACTTAAAAAGCGATGTCTCACAGTGCACTGCACTCGGTATTGCACCATGTATGCCGTGTTCAAAGCGTTTCGAATCACAATGTCTCCCGGGCACTGCAGTTCCAGGTCAACAACTTCTGGATGTGTGTACTGCAATGAACCGGTGGCAAGTTCGCTTGCTAAAACATCGACCAGCCGTTTCGAATGCCAAACGGCAAGTGACTCTTTCGTTGTCAGTGGTTTCCAGAGCAATACATCTAAGATGTATCCAAAACTCTACCTTAAATCCACGTTACATCTGGGTCATTTTTATCTCTGACGGGGCAGGTCGATTCTCCCGTTCGCCACTTACCGTCGCAGCTCACCTCGTCGGAGCCGTCTCTGCAGTCCTTGAAGCCATCGCACCTGTGTAGTGCTGTAATGCACTGGCCGTCCCCGCACCGGAACTGACGAAATTTGCACTCGCCGGCCGCTGTGACAGATCCAGTCATGGATAACGACAGAGGGGCATTCCATGCCAGTCCGACCACTTTCGTAGGTCACTATCTCGGAATTCGATGCAACTTTTTTTCCAAGTAGTACTTCATGAGAAAACATTCTGTGCAAAATTTCAGGCCGATCGGACCAGTAGTTCCTGAGATATGGGCTTTTCAATTTTTGCCTAAACTGTTGTTTGAGTGGTTTGGGTGAAATTGCAAGTTTCCACATTTTCCGTCCGTGCTATGTTGCTAATGGAGCTATGGCGTTTCTGAAGATGTTTTCTTGAAGGGAAAATTATAAGGATTCAGAATCTGTAATCGAATTTGAGATCCGAGTCCCAAAAAGGGGCTAAAATTGGCAAAAATCACAAAATTTTCGGTTTTTTTACACAATTTTCTAACTTATAATTTCCCTATGTCCGTATCGTGAAAACCAAAATCTAGTAGCGCAAAATGTAGATCGAGACGTGCCCTATCGAGCTGCGAGACGAAAAAAGGTGGGTATGGGTCTAACTTCGGAGCTACAGCCTCTCAAAAATTGTGTTTTAGACCTAGGGGTAGGTTGGGGAAGAAAAGTACAAAACGCGTACTTTGCACTGTACAGAAGTTCCAAATGAGGATTCAACTATTCTGCTCTCGTGAACTTGTAATCCAATGCCTTCCTAATGAAATGGATCACTGTTCATTGATTATAGTTCGCCACATTACGTACAACATGCCAAAATGTATGTGATTTCGGAACTCCTCGAAAAGGGTAAGAAAAGTACACCACCGGGAAAGAAAAGTACAACGAAAAGGAATGCGATTTCGAACCAGGAGACCACTAATCTTGGCTCAATACAGGTTTGACCCTAAAGTGGAGAGCTTTCACTTGCCATTAGTTCAAGTTTCGTCAAAATCGGTCAATTGGTTCTGATTCTACATGGACTCATCACAGAAGGTGCAAAAAGCCTTTTCTCAGAGATAAGTGAGTACAGCATTTTAGTACTTTTCTTCCCCTTTTTACGTAAATGCGCAATAACTTGTTTATTTCGAGTCTAATTCTATAACTTGTGTTGACATTTTTTGCTTGTCTCGCCTAGGGTCAGGGCGGGGAAGAACTGGACGTTTTGCAATCTTTCTCGATTTTGACTCTAATTGACTATCTTTAGCCAATGTATCCGTTAGGTCTGTTGATCGAGCCTCAAAGAAAGACATTTCAACCCTCAGCGAGTGCGTTTGCGGCTTCATTCAGTAATAAATGAGAAAAAACAGTGTGCGATTCTTCCCCGTCGAAACGGGGAAAAATCGAACACCTAAGGGGAAAAATCGTATACACGCTTTAATTTAACAAAAACCTATGAAAGTAGGTCAGAAACCTCTTGGGAACGATATTTGGGGGGTAACGCTTGCGGTACCCACTGAAGCAGGCGCACGAGTATTCCTAGGTAGACAGAAATCATCGTAGCATTGTTAGGGGGTCCGTGGTGGCACGTTTTTGAGGTTAAATGACCAAAATGTATGAAATCGTCAACAGCCGTGTTTGTTTTCCCACTAAATGTTGGGAAATGCTAAAATACACTTGTTACGACCACTTTGGTGCGATGTTAGGGCAATTCATCGATCATTATAGAAAAAAGAGGTGTTCGATTTTTCCCCGCACCAGTGTACGGTTTTTCCCCGTTTCGTATTTAACCCTTCATATGTAATCCAGCTGGAAATCTGCTAAAACATTTGAACGTATCTTGGGCTCCACACTTCCAACTTTCGTTTACAATAAGAAATATTCGTCACAGTAGGCTCGGAAAGTCGTTACAAAGAGATATTGCGGGCACCAACTTTGAAAGTTTTTAAGGTGTTTTAAACGAGACCTCGTTTAAAGGTAACTTTGAATACTTTCCGGTTCAAGTAGGCTAAATTCCTCTTAAACGCAGTCTAGCAGATCATCAATAAGCAATACTGAATACTTTGCACGTCCCAAAACAGGCAAATTTGTGGCGAAAGTGCGGTGTGCGTTTCTTCCCCAACTTGCAGGTGTCCGGTTTTTCCCCGCCCTGACCCTAATCAAATCTATTTCCGTGATCAATTCAATTTTCATCCCGCTTTTAGTTTCTTCGAGGGTGTTTTTTTCTTCCCCAATGCCTGTAATTTTCTTCCCCAGCCGACTGTACTTTTCTTCCCCATTTCAATCTTACACTTATAAAAAATTGTGTTGAAGCCTAAGAGCATCGAACGGCACTGTTTTTTAAAGATGATGGTCTAAGCTATAAGGTGGTACCTTACATTGGACTGTCGGCTGATTACGCAGGAAGCTGTACTTCAAAGTACAAACATTTAAAAAAAGATTTTCATAGTTATTTTTAATGTTTTTTTCAAACATGCAGTTTGATTCTAAATATTATATGTAGAACTGGGCTAAATTTATTTTTTGTCAGCGGGATGACCAATCTTTCGAAAACCACTAACGTGATGGTTCAGTTTGGGTTCAGTGTAGTTTCAGTTCGGAGATATAACGGGTGTTTTTTTCTTACCCGAGCCTCGAGTGTACTTTTCTTACCCAACCTACCCCTAAAATTGCAATTTTGCTAAACGTGCTCTGCAGTTAGTTTCCTTCTTCCCCATCCTAGGCCATGGGTTTCTTCGTGCAGAAATGGTCCGTCTCTTCCGAATGGTGAACCAGAGCCTGGTTATGACTATCGTAGAGCCCGGAAGTCCCGAGGACTGGCCTAGCCCCTGCAGGTTGGGCAACCCACCCGGCGCAAGTGCGTCGCAACAAGTCTTGCCTACATTCCCGACGCTTGGCTTCGCAAACCTCTGCCTTGCGATGAACGAGGGTGCCCCCTTCCCCCGGCCCATACACACCTACACAGGGGTGTTTCACTCAGTCGAATTTGATACCCACGGCATGTTTTTCTGAAAGGCCATAACGTAACTTGAATTTTGAGCCCTCGATGAGCGGAATCGGACAACGCCAAGTGACCGCGCATCGAACACAAAGATTTTTCAGCCAGCTCGAAAAACGCGCGCGCCGCCGGACAAAGGCAGTCCCCGTGCCGAGCCGGTGCAATGGATTCACACCAGACCTTCTCAGCGTCGTTCACAAGGGTCCATAGTAGGTGCCTGTTAACATTTTGGACCGGCGGGTACCATTGCGGCGAAGGTTAGGTTACGCAAAGTCTGAACTTCGTCCAGCCGCCAAACGGTTTGAGCCAGTGACCCCGAATTTGGCATTCATCGAGTCGGTCAGACTAGTAACAGATTCAAAAACTTCCGGTCGAGTAACTACACATCGATCCCCGCGAAAACGCTTTAGTTTTACCAGTGTGGTGGGTGAAAAACTGTGGTTACCCTCAAAACCCCTTAAAATCAGTGGTCAGCAAAGTACCACTTAAAATTCATTCATTCACAGCACACATGTGCACTGCCAATCCAAGTGTGAGACAGTCTCACACTATTTAGTGTGAACCACGATGTCTCACGCTTACAAGTGTGAGGCACGTTTGTCCCACGCTTGCAAGCGTGAGACATCATTTGTCTCACACTCACAAGTGTGAGACACGGTTTGTCCCACACTTACTGCCTATGGTTCCCTGTGGTCCCTGAACTTGTTCACAGCAAACGCCGTGAATTGCATAACAGCAAACATTGGTAATAAATTAACGGCGTTGACAGGACATTTTTTGTAGAGTGTGGTCCCGTAGTCCATTCTAACTTAAAGATTTTATATAGTACAAAATAATATGACATAGCATGTACACACATACTTCAAAATGAATAAGTATCAGTCCATAAAAGTACAACAAACATGGATGATGGAGTTTATCACATGATGCAGCGCATCCCATTCACACTCGTATCAAATCAAGCCAGTTGCTTGCTACTGACAAAGGATGTAATGTTGTCAAGTTTTCTGTGCTTTGAGAAATGTCTCCTCATACACATGGAAGTAACAAATTTTACTGTTCGCTCACACAGACATCCTAGAAGTAATTGTGAAATGCAAACCAATCCCCCCTCACATTCAAAACGGGGACAAACATCTTTCTAACATATTGGACTCATTTCTTCATGTGTTAGGTGAAAGACAAACATGTATTGCTTAACGAATTATCCTATATACCTGCAAAATTACTCTGTTTCAATGACATAGATAGTTACCTGACAAAGACATATTATAATATGTAAAAACTGTAAAAAAAATTCTGAAATTTCAGTACAATTTGTTCAGACTTTGCAGTCTGAATCGGTAATTCAGAAAGTTGCTTTGAATTTTCAGACTAGGAACTCTTAAGTTTGAGATCACACCGGTTAGTCTGAATTTTAAGCAGAAGGTCTAAAAATTCTGATAAAGTTTTCAGACTTGTCATCCGGAAACCTGTTTTCATAATTTTGGTATGAAAATTTTGACAGATTGTTTACTTATCAAGTCTAGGCGTAAGGCGTTGTATAAATTTATCGGAAATAATAATGTACACCCGTGCTTCACGCAGATTCGTCTGTGTACGGTAGAATAACGGTAAGAGTTGTCCGAACTTGCATTCTGGACTTGCCGAAAGGAGCCAGTATCCTCTGAAGAGAGTCACGCGGCACGGCTTCCCCCGCCGCCAGGCAGCGCCCTTAGCGCAGTGGTACCGAGCTCGTCTCGTAACCAAAAAGTCCCGGTTCGAACCCGGGCCGAAGCGAATAAGTGAAAAGTGGAAAGGAGGTACCGTCACACATTGGTGGTTCATATCGTTCTCTTGTTGATTTCTTTCTCTTTGATTTATAGATGGCACATTTAATATTTCAGAGTAGCAGTCTGAAAATGTTTTTCAGACAAGTAGTCTGAATTTGGAATTCAGACAGAATGGTCTGAATAATTACTCTGAATTTTCAGACCACTAGTCTGTTTAAAAACTTCAGACTAAAATTATGAAATTTCAGTAATACTTTTTTTACAGTGTATACATTAAAAGAAATGTTACAAAACATGTGTGAATACATAACAGCCGAGTTAGCAGCCATGAGTATCTTCTGAAAAAGAGAACATCTCCAACATTATCATTAAAGACCACCAAGCGTTTGCTTTAGTTCTGTTTGCAGCAATTCAGACACGTTTCTGACAGTTTGTCACACAACGTGATCAATTAATTAAAGAGCTTGGCAAAGTAGCCTTTAGCAGATACCATTCATTGGCATCTCAAGAATATCCAGAGGAAAAGTCTTGAAACAAAGCTCACAACACTCTCATTCCAGGAACGTGACATCACGTTGAAACGAACGTGACAAAGCGTCACGTTCGTTTGAGCATTGTGTCACGTTCGTTTGAATGTGAACGAGCTGATTTTCGGCCAATTCACACCCAAACGAATGTGACACAATGCTCAAACGAACGTGACAGTTTGTCACGTTCGTTTCAACGTGATCTCACGTTCCTGGAATGAGAGTGAAGGCTTGACACATATCAGTATCAACACATGCTTAAGACATAGCACAGCACAGGTTAACATTAGGATTATAAAATTTAAACTCGCACTGCTCGCTGGGGGCTCCGCCCCCAGACCCCCGATATGTGGAGCGCGTGCCGAAGTATTTTCAGTAAGTCCATGGTGACCAAAGGCAAATTTTCTAAGGAGTAAATGTCCTGCTAAGCTCTATTTACCGCTTTTGACCATATAATAAGGCTACTTTACTGCCCAAATAGATAGCTTGTATTGCATTGGCTACTGTGGCAGTCAATAGGTGCATACAAGGTCCGGAAAATATTAAAGACTGCTTTGACAAGGATAGAGTTAAAGGAAAAAACCTTAGGTCTCTACGACCACTCCTTGACCCCAAACATTTCTTTGAGTGAGTAAGTGAGTGAGTCAGTCAGTCAGTCGATTGGGCTATACATTCTTGATGATGATTGCCCAATTGCCGGTGGCAGGGTCCCGATTACGGCACTGTTTCGGAAATTCTCGACCAGACCTACCGATGAGCGAATAAAAATTTTAGTCATTCGGTCCCCTTTTTAGAAGATTGAGTAGGTTTGCTCGGAAACAGTGAAAATTTTTACCTTTGAGATTTTTCTCATTTTCCCATTAAATTTGGAATCGAATGGAAAAACCGCAGGTCTCTACGACCACTCCTTGACCCCAAACTTTCTATGAGTGAGTGAGTGAGTCAGTGAGTGAGTCAGTCAGTAGGATTGGGGCTATATAGGTTCTTGATGATGAGTGAGGGAGTCAGTCAGTCGGATTTTGGGGCTTTATAGGTTCTTGATTGATGACAATTGATGATTGATTTTGAGTATGTTGCCGTGACGGGGACCCGATTGCGCACAGTTTCGGAAATGTCTCGACCAGACCTACCGATGGGCAAATAAAAATTTTAGTCGGTCGGTCCCTTTTTGAGATTGAGTGGATTTTGTTGATTTAGGCCTATTTAATCGTTTTGAGGATGTTGCCGTGACGGGGACCCGATTGCGGCATAGTTTCGGAAATGTCTCGACCAGACCTACGATGGGGCGAATAAAATTTTTAGTCGGTCGGTCCCCTTTTTTGAAGATTGAGTGGATTTTGTTGAATTTAGCCTATAAATCGTTTTTGTGGATTTGCCGGTGACAGAGACCCGATTGCGGCACAGTTTCAGAAATGTCTCGACCAACCTACCGATGGGCGAATAAAAATTTTTAGTCGGTCAGTCCCCTTTTTTGAAGATTGAGTGGATTTTGATTTTAGGCCTATTTAATCATTTTGAGGATGTTGCCAGTGACGGAGACCCGATTGCGGCACAGTTCGGAAATGTCTCGACCAGACCTATTGATGGGCGAACAACATTTTTAGTCGGTCGGTCCCCTTTTTTGAAGATTGAGTGGATTTTGTTGAATTTAGGCCTATTTTATCGTTTTGAGGATGTTGCCGGTGACGGGGACCGAAAATTTCGGCACATTTTCGGAATGTCTCGACCAGACCTACCGATAGGGCGAATAAAAATTTTCAGTCGGTCGGTCCCCTTTTTTGAAGATTGAGTGGATTTTGTGAATTTAGGCCTATTTTTTATTATTATATCGTTTTTAGGATGTTGCCGGTGACGGGACCAATTGCGGCACAGTTTTGGAAATGTCTCGACTAGACCTACCGATAGGGCGAGTAAAAATTTTTAGTCGGTCGGTCCCCCTTTTCGAAGATTGAGTGGGTGGCTCGGAAACGTTGAGGAATTTGGTCCCCCTTTTTGAAGATAAGTAGGTTTGCTCGGAAACGGTGAGGATCTCCACTTTTGGGATTTTTCCCATTTTCCCAAAAAATTGGAATCGAATGAAAAAACCGCAAGTCTCTACGACCACTCCTTGACCCCAAACATTTCTTGAGTGAGTCAGTGAGTCAGTCGGATTGGGCTATATAGGGGTTTTTGATAACAGAAATCATATACAGAATGGTGATACACTTTTGATAATTTTCAGTTATTTCTTAGGCTTGTCTGACAAAAATACAATTGCATGATTCATCTGAGTGGATTTAGTGTACCCTGTAAACAGTTTTTTTTTGTTTCTCCTGTGAAATGATGAAAATTGAGTTCTCCCCTTCTTCCGCTCCACGGATCAAATAACGACTTCTCTTTAACAGTGCTCTTGTTCTTCACTTGCTGACGTCTGGAATGGTTAATTGGCATCGTTTATAAAGTCGCTTCGTAATTGTGTACTAGGAGAACAGGTTGTGTGTGTAGTGTGATCGTCTAACACGGAACAGTTCCAGTCGGGTGCCATGCCCGCACTCCGGGCGCCGCGATCTCCTTTTACTTCGGAAGCAGCCACTCACCTGACTCCACCTGTTGCTGAGCCGCCGCCGCACACACCAGCGCTGTCAGCACAACGAGTAGGGACATTTTGAGTGTTGCACGATCCGCTGCGTTCGTCATTAAAAGCAATGCCATCCACCTCACGGTAGGTAGCCGGTATCTCCTCAAGTGGCTGAGTCCGCCATCCCGCACGTGAGGTGTGAGAACAATTAGATAAGTGGATAAATCTGTCCGAGTGGGCAAAACTCCGAGGGGCGATTCCGTACGCATGTGCACGCTTGATGTCACACGAACGCGTGTGTTTGCATCACAGGGAAGAATCCTCGTAGGGGGGATGTCGCGAAAGTTGCCTACCTACAGGGGTAAAGTGCGACTTTTTGCCTACCTTTCTCAGGGGGGCGACGCCCCCCCCCCCCCGGATCCGCGCCTGGTTATCATCTTTTTTTCTTAAGGGCTTAACACAATTTTTTTGGAGCATTACTCGAGTCCTGGCTATGGCATTGCACGTATGCAGCGATATCTTAGTGCATTGGTGGAGTGCGCTATACGTGCTATATTCGTAGCGTTTGGAATCTCCGTGTGTTCTTTGACATGATGGCTTCCAACATTTCATTTGTCGTCCTCCGATTCCCTTCCAGCATAGCTGTGAAAACACAACTCAACGTACTTGCCTTTATTAAGGGATACGAAAAATACGTTCTGCAAACACCTTTCTGTGTATAAAACGCACACTTGTGTACACATGGCACAGACATCACTGTCATTCAAACTGCTATAACTACATATTGTCGACATTTTGCAATGAAAGTACTGCTGCCCACTAAGAAAGTGCAATAAAAAAGTTAAAGCCAAGTTTTTAAAACAAAAGTTGCTTCAAAAGGAGAAATTACAAATTCCACAAAAATTAAGGGGTGGTTCTTGCAAAATTATCATTGAATCATCGCACTCCAGGGTGCGATAAATCGTGGGAATCACAAACTCGGTTATATCGCAAAAAATTGTAGCAAATGTATCTCAAAATGAATGACAGTGATATTGTATGCAAATTACTACAAATAGGTTTTCGAGTGACGTCACACGACAGCCGAAAAATAAACGTGACGAGTTCCGAGTGCAGTTCCAGAGAGTGGTGTGGCATGAGCGGGGTCCTCTGACGGCACGGTCGAGCCGCTACTTCTGCTGCTGCACGTTGAGGACCACTTGAACGTAGCTGAACCACGTCTGGACCACCGTACTGGCGGCCGGCCGGTCCATCTTTCCCATGCCGTAGCCGCCCAGGAGTCCGCCACGGCCTTCCGACGCCTGAGACACCAGAGTGAAACGTTAACCCCTTCTGCACTGGTGAAACAAAGGCGGAACAGTTTTGCCCTTCGGGGTGTAACCGATTGCCACCAATGGAACGGCAGCAATTGGAAAGGGCGAGGATTGGAAAGGGACTAAATGCAAAATTTTAATGTATGAACTACTTTATAAGTTCTTAAGGATTTATACGGTTGTCCCTAAATTAAGTATTTATTCATATAACGGTAACAACGTCCCCCAGGAATCCAAGCAGAGCAAACAAAACCATGGTAGTCCCTTGGAACTAGCACAAATTCCAAGGGGTCCCCTTGAAAATTGGCCACCTTGCGTGAATCCAAGGGACTCCCTTGGAATTCTGTGGTTTTCCAAGGAAGTGCTTGAAATGTGGCCGCAACTCCTAGTGACTTTGATCTTTCATAATTTGAGCAATGGGAGATTGGGATTGTTTGCGTGGAAAAAATTTGATTCCGTTCAGTTGTCAAAGCAAGAAAAACAATAAAAGCTATCGAAACCGTGAAAACTTCTTCTGAAAACAAGCAAGCCGAAACTCCTACACTCTCATGTATGTTCGCGTCCTCAGCACGAAATTCCAAGGGAGTCCCTCGTTATCCAAAGGAGTCCCTTGAAATAAGTTCAAGATTCTAAGGGAGACCCTTGGTTTTAACAACTTCCAAGGGAGTGCCTTGCAATCTTGGTTTCGTTCCAACGTCCTTGGATTTGAGAAAATCCCCTTGAATTCCAAGGGAACGTTTTCACCGTGAGATGGCAATAGTTAACTACACTAAAAGTATATAGCACTTGGGGCGTTCCATGGTAGATTTACACGAGTTTAATCGACCATCTCTGATTTTGCTCATATTTGGCTCAAATGTTGCCCTCATAGGGGGGAACATCCGTGCAAAATCTCAAAGCCGTAGCCCCAGTAGTTTCCGAGATATAGCTGTTCAAAGTTTTTATTTAAGACTTTCCGAAACTTTTATAGAAAAAGTGAAAAATGGGTCCCATTTCCGTAATGTTCACTCTAGAAGGACCAAAATAGTATCAACTACGTAAAATCACGAGAGGAATCCGAATATGCCCCCGGAAAGATCGTAGCTCAACTCCTTCTATCCGAAATCGCAATTTGGAGCTTATTTTTCAGGCACTTTTGAGGATTTGGTGAGGGGTGTTCCCAATCGAAAAATCGACTTATTCAGGGTGCAATCGGTAGGTCTCTGACCCTACTTTTAAGTTCAAGTGCCAAAAGTATGAGGTATGGCCCTCGTTTTCGCTCCACAGCCCGTTGAAAAATAAAAAATCGCCAGTTTGACCCATTTTGGGCCAAAATGGCACATATTTGAGGCTATATTGCAGGAGATCGGCACCAGATACAGAGGTCTGCCAGGGCTCATTTGAAAGGAAATTTCATGCCCTTTTGACATGTGAAATAAAAATCATGGCTATTTGCCTTCTTTTCACGGTACACGCAGATATGTAAAAGTGTGCAAACCTCAAAAGCGACAAAATTCACCAAAATTTGTTTTATGACTGAAATGAAGGTCTTGTGTGCCTCTACCGCACTGAAAACGGGTTTGTTATTCATTTAGAGTGCAGGTACCTTCTGATACGCACCTCAGTGCGAGCATTTTGGTGCCAAGTCTATCGAATGGGGGATTTATTTGAATGGTGCAGCACCGGCCACCTCGTTGATGGAATAATTGTTTCAAGCATGGCAAGGGGACGTCTATTAACAAAGGAACGCAGTATTGGAACCTTGAAGACCCGCGCATTTGACATGTGATTGTCGTTAACACTCCTATTGCAGGAACGTGACATCACGTTGAAACGAACGTGACAAAATATCACGTTCGTTTGAGCAAGGTGTCACGTTTCTTTGAATGTGAACAAGCTGATAATTGGCCAATTAACACCAACACGAATGTGACACAATGCTCAAATGCTCAAACGAGGAATGAGAGTGGACTCGTATGAAAGAGCACCGGCAGCAACAAATACACCAAAAAGTCTCGGAAGACATTTCACGGCAGGCAGACTTATGGCAAGGGAGCGCAGTTTGATTTTGAGAAAAGTAAGTAAAAGTAAAATGTTGGCCTCATAAAACCATCTTGTTTACTCTGCAAACTCAAGTGTGTACATAGTACACTCGACCTGGAGTCAGCATGCATGCATACTCCAACCTGGAGCATACCTGGCATGTACACTCCGGGTTGGCGTGTACTTGCGAAGTTCACTCTGACCTGTAGTGTGCATGCCAGGTATGCTCCAGGTTAGAGTGTGCATGCATGTCGACTGCAGGTGGAGTGTACTATGTACACACTTGAGTTAGTAGAGTAGTAGCACTTCCATCAGTCCTTGGCCCAACCAACCATTTCATGTTAAAGCCTGTTTATTTGGCTTTAAATTTAGCACTAGGTCGAATATGTAGAGTTCATTATTTGCATATAAGAGGCCTTTTAATTCATTTACCTCACTTGGGACAGTTTGGTCCACCTTTCGACGGGACACATTGAACCAATCAGGCCAGCGCCTGGAGTTAATTTTCATACTGAGCCACATAGACGTCGTTACATGGATTAAGATTGGGGGGGTGGGGGTGTCAAAGTAGCACTTTTTGGCAACTTATAAGAGAAAAGTGTTGTTTTATGCTTACCTTTCAGATGTTTATGTAGGGATCATAACAGGGACCCGTTTGTGCCCGGCCCAAGTCGGTATAAGAACATAGCTTGCGTTCGTCGTTTGTTGTATTTGTTGTTGCCGGTGCTCTTCCATTCTAGTTAATGAAAATCAAATTTCCCGTCAAATGCACGGGTCTTCAAGGGTCGAAGACTGCGTTCCTTTGTTAATGGACATCCCCTTGCCATGCTTGAAACAATTATTCCATCAACGAGGTGGCCGAGGCTGTACCATTCAAATCGAGGGGCAAACAACTACGTCAAAATTTGTACACCGTTATTTCAAATTCACGTTATTTCATTGTAATTTCAACGTGATTTCGCTTTATTTCACGTTTTAGCCTTACTTTACCGTTATTCCAGGGTTTCTTCACCGTTATTTCACTATCATTTTACGTTATTTCAAGAAAAAAGAAAACCAAAATTTAAGTTGTTTGCTCCGATTCAAATAAATCCCTCATTCGATAGACTTGGCACCAAAATGCTCGCACTGAGGTGCGTATCAGAAGGTACCTGCACTCTAAATGAATTACAAAACCGTTTTTAGTGCGGTAGAGGCACACAAGACCTTCATTTCAGTCATAAAACAAATTTTGGTGAATTTTGTCGCTTTTATTTAACGTGATATTTTGTCACGTTCGTTTCAACGTGATGTCACGTTCCTGCAATAGGAGTGTTAACGACAATCACATGTCAAATGCGCGGGTCTTCAAGGTTCCAATACTGCGTTCCTTTGTTAATAGACGTCCCCTTGCCATGCTTGAAACAATTATTCCATCAACGAGGTGGCCGGTGCTGCACCATTCAAATAAATCCCCCATTCGATAGACTTGGCACCAAAATGCTCGCACTGAGGTGCGTATCAGAAGGTACCTGCACTCTAAATGAATAACAAACCCGTTTTCAGTGCGGTAGAGGCACACAAGACCTTCATTTCAGTCATAAAACAAATTTTGGTGAATTTTGTCGCTTTTGAGGTTTGCACACTTTTACATGCCTGCGTGTACCGTGAAAAGAAGGCAAATAGCCATGATTTTTATTTCACATGTCGAAAGGGCATGAAATTTCCTTTCAAATGAGCCCTGGCAGACCTCTGTATCTGGTGCCGATCTCCTGCAATATGGCCTCAAATATGTGCCATTTTGGCCCAAAATGGGTCAAACTGGCGATTTTTTATTTTTCAACGGGCTGTGGAGCGAAAACGAGGGCCATACCTCATACTTTTGGCACTTGAACTTAAAAGTAGGGTCAGAGACCTACCGATTGCACCCTGAATAAGTCGATTTTTCGATTGGGAACACCCCTCACCAAATCCTCAAAAGTGCCTGAAAAATAAGCTCCAAATTGCGATTTCGGATAGAAGGAGTTGAGCTACGATCTTTCCGGGGGCATATTCAGATTCCTCTCGTGATTTTACGTAAATGGTACTATTTTGGTCCTTCTAGAGTGAACATTACGGAAATGGGACCCATTTTTCACTTTTTATATAAAAGTTTCGGAAAGTCTTAAATAAAAACTTTGAACAGCTATATCTCGGAAACTACTGGGGCTACGGCTTTGAGATTTTGCACGGATGTTCCCCCCTATGAGGGCAACATTTGAGCCAAATATGAGCAAAATCGGAGATAGTCGATTAAACTCGTGTAAATCTACCATGGAACGCCCCACTTCTACAGTACTTTTATTGTACATAACTACAGCAGAAACATTTAGTGTGCATACCTACGTACAGGAACATGACGGCAGGGTCCGGTAGGGTGTCTTTCAGGCGTTTGGGAAGGTCCCCGCGTGATTACCTGCATCATGCTGATCCTGACTCTTCGCTGCTGTGGGCTCTCGCCGAGCCAGGGCCCGAAAAACGCTCGTTCTCCTATATCGCCCCGCAATGCCCTTTGCCGATCACCGGCCTCGCACAAGGCAGCAAACGATGTCAGAATAAGTGGACAACTGACGAACGCGAAGAGATCAGCATGAAGGCCCTTGGTCACAACCTGCGGCAGCGACATTAAGTTTAAGTCACAGCCAGGGATTCTTAACTTACTTCTATAGGGCATCATAACGTTATCGTAAACGTTAAAGTTACAACCTGTTACCAATAACTTCTATTTAAAAGGTTTAAGTTATTTTTCAAAAGAGGCTATAGCCTCTCTAATTTGTGCTCCTCACTTTTAGCGAACATTGTCTTATCATCATCATCATTATCATCATCATCATCATCATCAAGAACCTATATAGCCCCAATCCGACTGACTCACTCACTGACTCACTCATAGAAGTGTTGGGGTCAAGGAGTGGTCGTAGAGACTTGCGGTTTTTTCCATCCGATTCTAAATATTATGGGAAGATGGGAAAAATCCCAAAAGATAAACATTCCTCAACGTTGCCGAGCAAACCTACTCAATCTTCAAAAAAGGGGACCGACCAACTGAAAATTTTTATTCGCCCTATCGGTAGGTCTGGTCGAGGCATTTTCGAAACTGCCGCAATCGGGTCCCCGTCATCGGCAACGTCCTGCCGGTGATGAGCGAGCACTTCAAAATCGGATTCTCTGCATCGATCTTGCCTACATTCTATGAATCGCGCACTTTTACGAGAAATCCGAATTTGAAAACCGCGTCCTTCTATCTGCAATGGAGAATTTGAAATTTCACGAAAACTGCATGGTTTGAACCCGCACTGTGAAATGAGTTTCTTTTTCGAAATCAGCACGACATGTTTAGTCAAATAACCGTAATCAGTAATAATTTTTTTCTCATTTTTCACTTTTCTGTCCTACTGTCCTTCGTACCAAATTTGTTTTGGCAGTACTCAAGTTATCCTTAATCATTCATGTTTTAGCCAAACCCATTCACAGATGGACTGATTTTTCCTAATAATGAATGGGCAGAGGCAGACCTTACCTCAACGCTAGAAAACAGCGGAAGGCCTACAATTCCCGCGCAGAAGAAGGGCATGAGGTCAGCCAAAATGTAATCCGCTTCAAGCGCCGCTGCAAGCGTATTGCGCTGGAGATTGGCACAGAAAGACAGCGACTTGCCAATCTGGAATGTAAAGCCACGGTTTCATAGTGAGGCTTCGGACTCGTCCCGCCTCGCTCAGCGAGATACTCGACCGAGCGGTTGATGAACCTTATCTGTCTGTGCGCACGCCCGATCCGGCATAGACTTTGCAGGGTCATTAAGTTAGTCCTTGGCTCGCCCCACGCCAAAATTAAGATTTACTTCAATCTGTTCAGTCATGTCGGCATCAAAAATTCAAAGACATGTGTAGTCTTGTGTATCGTCCAAACCAATGAAAGTTATTTTGAGCATGCAGTCTTCGAGGGTTCTGGTTTAAGGTTTCAGGGTTTTCTTGAGGAGAAAAACAGGGTAAAACGTTCTCTTCCTTTTAGGACAACGTATCTTCCGAACCGTTTGAACCGGAGATTTGAGTGAGTGCTCAATGGATTCAGCACGACTTCTTCTGCACGCTGGAGTCGGGGTGGGGATGAACTGACCACGTCAGGGGTGCGGAAAAATCGGACACCATGTTTTTAGATTGGATTTCCTAATTTTGGGGCTAACTAGTACTGATGCGCGTTAGTATAGGGCTTTAATATACAGTACAGAATACTTCAGAATCAGAATGTGACAGTTCAGTCTAAAATAGGAGGTGCGCGCGATTTTTTTCCTGCTCCTCTAGTGTTAGGCTCTTCCCCGCCCTGACTTTAAATAATATGAACAAATTTGTTCGTGGCGATGCATTGAGCTAAATTGAATTAATCTCAATAGAGCATTCTAGTCGTCGCCGATCGAAGAAGAGAGAAGAACAAAACCGGAAGCCGGGACGAAACGGAGCAGGTATCAAACCCGGTTCCAACGAGAAATGTCGACAAATATTTTTATTTCCCGAGTCAAAAAGAGTTTGAAACAAACGAAAGTGCTCTTAAAGGAGATACGCCACAGAAAACTCAGAAACTAGTCCACTCTTAGAAGTGTAGCATGTTATGTTGCCAGGGCCAGTTCCGGCTTTGTTCTTCTTGTTCTTCGATCGGCGACGACTAGAAAACTCTATTAAGCTTGAATTAAATTGTGCTCAGTTTGCATAAATTTATGCATTGTTACTATTACGCACAATATTATGCAAATTTAACGTGTGCACAAAATCATGCAAGTTACACGTAAAAAAATCTACATTAACATCTTGTGTGTACTGCTTGGCGGTCGTAAATTTTATATCCAAGGCCTACATCCACACTTTCAATATTTCTATCCCTATGTGCCCTGGGACAGTTCACATTGGAACAGGTGTAGTCTCTTTGAAAAATTTACCTTCGGTCTAAATACGAGGCAAGTCAGAAGACAGGACGCTACATGCACAATTTAGGCCTGCCCTCACCATTTTTTAGCTCGAAAGCCTTTCGATGTGAAACAGTCCGTTCCAACGTGCCCCACCTTCCCTTAATAGCGGTTAGCACCATGTGTAGGCTGTTATAGTGATTTGTGTCGAGTGTCTGTCCGTACCTTAAGAGCTCTCCCGATACCAGCGTGGCCTTCAGCCAGTGACATGTGAATGGTCACAATGCACGCGAGCAAGAAGTAAGCCGCCATCGCCGGTGGCAGAGCCGCAATCTGGAAGATGAATTGTATCGAACCACAGCCATTAATCAAGACTGAAATGGAATGAAGAAAGTAAATGTTAGTCGTATTTTCCGCATCGAGTGAAGTGGGTGTGTTTTGTGAACTTTAAAGACTTAACGGTTCCTGGTTCTGAAACGTTTTGTTTTTTGTGTTGTGTAAAAGACTTTATGAGAAGGTGTGTGAAGGTCTGAGAGAACATAACTCCAAACATAACTCAATTTAACATTTATGATAGCAACTCGTAAAACACAAGACCTACAGAAATTACTCTACATTCCCTTGGCTTGCTCACCGGTGAATCAAAGTACTCCGTCGTTTACCGAGTGAGATGACGTCTCTTCAATGGGGAGCCAGTTCAAAAGAAAATTGAAACGATACATTATCGATAAATTGCATCCCCTAGATGACTGTTTTACATGGTTGACTACATCCTGTGATGTGTTGCGTACTGATTTCTGGAAAATGGTCCATTATTTGACGCTACAGGCAATTAATCTAAATTTATCCCTTCAAGCCACAGCGAAATTGCCTAGTTGTTTTACTTATTACATTTGAGAAACTGGGCACTCTATTTACGTAGAAATTTCCCATGGTAGGAAGGAAATGGCGCAAGCCTAATACGAAGGTGGTTTTTCTACTTATAACGAAGGTTATTCATTGTACCTAACGTTAAGAAAGATAAAAATATTCGTGTTACGAAGAAATAAATTTCCCATAGTACGAAGGAAATGGCGCAAGCATAATACTAAGGTGGTTTTTCTTCGTATAATGAAGGGTTTTCGTTGTATCTTACAATGAGAAAGCTAAAACGATTCGTGTTATACGAAGGAATATTGCATCGTTCTAGGCTTGCGCCTAATTCACTGTAACATACGAATATCATACGTCAAATTTCATTGTAAGACATTTAGAGTGCGCACCTACCTGAAATAAGAGGCCTAAGTAGAACACCCACGATGTGATGGAGTCTCGAGGATCAAGCTGCATGCGAGACAGGTCTCCGTACTTCCACTGGTGGAACAGCTTACTTAGCGCTCGCTGCCAGTTTGTCGGTCCTCTCGCCGAAAATTCGCCAAGACCACTCATGGACAGTATGGAGAGAAACGTATAGATTTTGACCACTCTCAAGATGAGCTTGCAATGGCGGCGAAAGCGATCCTGCACCAAGATAATAGGAAAGGATGAAGTTAGATTTTGTTCCATTGCCGAAGAATTCCGTGGAGTCCCACAACTCATGTTCGGACGCAGACAAGCTCCCAGTGCGGTTTTCTCGAAGGTCTAAAAATTGCGTAGCAAAAGTTAGAGGGAGGGGCACCTAGTCAAACTGTTCGGTTTGCAGAATAACTGATCATAGGGAGTCAACACATTGTAAGGTAAAATACGGGCGCGAAATGACCTCCTTTTAGGGTATAATCCTAACGACCTTAACATTCCTAATAATCTTAGACAATCTCAACTGCCCGAGCGGATCCAACTTGGATCCAAGACAATCCTAGCTGCATCCAAGACAATCCTAGCTGCATCCAAGACCATCCTAGCTGCCTGTGTCGGTTCGAAACTATCCTAACTGCACATGACGTCAAAAGCGGTCTTATCTTGAATTCCGTGACGCCCACAGAATAAAATAGAGTACTCCAAGGAAGCTCTGACAGAAGAAGAAGAAAAAGAAACGGAAGTAAAAAAATTGCAGTTTCTATAAGAAATATACGCTGCGGACCTCATGCGCAGCGTATATTTCGCATAGAAACTGAAATTTCTTACTTCCGTTTGTGTTCTTCTTCTTCCGGGCCAGAGCTTCCACTGTGGGCAAAAATCACAGTAAATCCTGTCGTGATTAGTACAGCTATCATTGTAGTTCAGAGTACAGGATTTACTGTACTTTTTTACAGAATCTACTGTACTTGGTACGGGATTTGCTGTACACTGAGATTCCAAACGCTATGAGTATAGCACGTATGGTGCAATGCAGCTGAGATATCGCACCACACGTGCAATATGACAGCCATATTGCACCTTACGTGCAATACGTCCCAAAAATGCCCTAAGCTAATGCATAGGAATAAGAAGGCATTGCACTTCATGTGCAATGCTTTTGCATTGCACCAATTGACGCTATACACATAGCGTTTGGATTCTCAGTGTACCACAGGAGTGGAGTACGGAATATCCTGTACCAGGTACAAAATACTGTAGCCAGGCACAGTAAATCCTGTGTTCTGAACTACAGTAAATCTCGTCAAAAAAATTAACGGGATTCACAGTTGTTTTTTCGCACAGTGTCCTTAGAGTACTCTATTACTTGCCGAAGGACTTCGTTATAAAGTTTCATCCTTACGTGGACATGTAGCTGTATCGAGCTAAGGAAACTCACAATTCACAGATGAGGATAGGGTGCCCTTCCGGAGGAGCAGTGCGGACACACACGCAGACAGGGAAACAACCGCACCTGAGGAACGGGCTTCGTCATCGCTCAGCCAGTAATACCTGGATTACGCTGTCTTCAAGCTGCTCCAGGCTGGAGGAAACGTCAGCCATGCGTTGAAAGACTGTTCCCATCAGTTGTCCGCGGTATGTGAATATGATAGTCGATGCGGCGGATGCCCACGTCCCCATAATGAGCCGAAGCCCAAACTGGGCGTTGTGCAAAGACTCCGCCGTCAAGATGTCCGCAAGCGCCGTGATCATGTTGACGAATACCAGGAACAGCATGAACTGTACAAGCAGGTCTATATAGAACCAGCCGAAGCATGTGACCTCACTCTAAAGAACAAGTATACACTTGGTTTTAAATAGTGTACTCGACTAGTACAGACACATCCACGAAAGGTACACATGTTAAAGAATGTACTTGAGTAAATACACTCCCACACTTAAACATTTTTTGCCGCATCTTAGCGACAAACTTATTGCTAATTTTTGTAGCGACTTGATTTGTTTCGGAAAGAAATAGCTTGTCAAAGCATTGTCGTATTGCAACTAAAGGATAATTTCACAACGACAAACTTGTAATAAAATATTAACAGTCCTTCGAAAACAAGTCGTTGACCAACGACAATTATTGTTAGTCAGCGACATCGCAAGTCGCATGTTTGCGATGGGGTCTCTTGTTAACTATATTTTGAATGGTTCTACTTTAAGGGGGCAGGCAAAACACTGAAAATGGCCCTAAACTGACTTGTGGGATTGCTTCCATACGCGTTTTTGTACGTTGTATAAAGTTTTCATGTGTCAAGAGCTTACTAAAAGAAGCATTTTAAGCCCAGAATGGGGTCGATCGGACGTTAGGGAGCGGAGCAGCGACCAATCAAATTTTCGTCAAAAGTCGAACTGGCAGGAGTCCCTCACACGGGCGTGCACAAGGGGGGGGGGGGGGGGGGGGAGGGGGCGATCGCCCCCCGAAGGACCCCAAAAGGTATACTTTTGAGGCAGGTTTTGGCGTCTAACTCCTGGAAGTTAGGCAAAGTTCCTCAAAAAAAGGTTCTACCGCCCCTCCCGAGGAGGCGAGCTGTGCACGCCCCTGGTCCCTCAGTCCGCAAAAATGAAGATATCTCAACCCTGTTTGCGCCAAAATGTAGGTAATTTAAGGGGCTATCGCATGAACTAGAATCGCTGCTCCGCTCCCTGACGTCCGATCGTTGCCATTCTGGGCTTAAAATGCTTCTTTTTGTAAGGTCTTGACACATTAAAACTTTGAACAACGTACAACAGCGCGTATGGAACCAATCGCACAAGTCAGTTTTGGGCCATTTTCAGTGTATTGCCCGCTGAAGTAACCTTCCTGTGATGTAAACAACAGAATAGTTGGCGATTCTAATATTACACTGTTAAAAAAAATCTGAAATTTCAGACCATAGTTGCCAGACCTGGTGGTCTGAAGTACAGTTTCAGACGCGGACGCTGAATTCTCAGAACGGCGGTCTGACATTTTGGAGTTAATGATCTGAAAGGGAAGGTTCAGCTAAGTCGGTCTGAAATTTCGGGAAGCAGGTGTCCAAAAGCCTCGTATCAGCCCAAATGGTCTGAAAATCTTGCCCAACATCATTACATTTGAGAGTACTGGTGTCCGAATCCTCCGCTTCATCCTACATGGTCTGAAAATCTTGCCTTAAATTACGACATTTGAGAGTACTGGTGTCTAAAATCCTCGGCCCAACCTCTACGGTCTGAAAATCTTGCCCTCCATTCTTATACTTAAGAACGCCACCAGGGAGCGTGGGCCCTGGGAACTCGAACGCCTGCAGGATAGGCCACCAGCTCGACCCGCAACACACCGAAGCCGGCCGGGTGGTCTACCCTGCGAAGGCGGGCGGGCGACTTCCCCCGCATACCGTTTTCGCTACGAAATGGCGAGAATATTTTTGTCTGACCACGTTCAAAGCCGCATGGATCGTATTGGCTGGGTTCAAAAGTCTGATCAAATTGTGGCAAGACAAAAGAGACTCGCCATTTTGTGGCGAGAAATTTTTGTGTGATCAAATTTCGGTGAGACTTTCTGGTCGACCAAAACTGGCACGACTTTTTGTCTCGCCTCTGGAGTGGCGAGGAGTCTGACCTTTAGATTTATCGTAAGCGTTCTTGTAAGCAAGTATTTTCTTCTGCCTCAACCATTTCATTTAGAATGTCTCATTCATTCTCCTAGCCTTTCAAACAGCCAGACTCTTCCCGCTCACCCCACCCCTCCCCTCTAATGTGACCCCCTCCCACCGCTCCTCTCCCACTGCCTTCCGACTCCATTCGCCACTCGCATCGACTGGGTGGGTTGCTGTTGCTCTGTCTCACTCGCACACTCACACATACACGAGCACGAGTTGCTCGCCGGGCTCCGGTCCGGCAACGTGTGTCAAGTTTTCGGTGCAGCTTAGTGGCATGATGAGACAGCAATCCAAATGAAGCCAGCCCTCCCGTGCGACCATGTTTCTTTCATTCAATCAGGTAAAGTCATTCATATTCCAACCTTCCTGAGCTGCATGTTTCATCTCATTTGAAACCTCACTTAACCTCACCAATTCAATTCTGTTTCTGACCATTCCAGGCCACCTACCGCTACCATTTCTGTCAGCGAGACTGACGTTCCAGTAGCAACATGGCCAATTTAAACACCACCTACTTTCTGCATCCACAACCATTTAGTCTTCTTTGAGTAAGCAGAGTGCACGTTCTGTCAAAGTACTGACGGAATCAGTCTGCACATTTTTGTAGTGTCACTTCAAACCGCACCTCCTGATATTATTTTTTTCTTCATATTTCAGGCGACCCACTGATTTGTTTTCTACCACACTGCATCAGCTTCTGCTTCTGCCAGACAAAGTGAAGTTCTTGTGGCGACGTAGCCGCTTTGGACTCCATCCTACTTTTGCCAGTTCCACATCCACAAACATCAAGTCTTCTTTGAGTGAGTACAGTGCACGTTCTTTCAAAGGGTGCTCATTCAACCCACTGATCATACGTCACCGATGTCACTTTGACTTTCGAGTACTTTGGCACAACATTACCATGCCATGAAAGTAGCTGTCTGAAATCGGGTTATCTTAGGCGGTACAGTAAGATGTAAACTGGCAGTGAAGCATCACTACAGAGATGTTTCTTTACTGCTGTAAATTGTACTGAGTCGCATGAGGTTACCAGGCTTTACCAGCCTTGGCAAGGCTGGCTCAAAGTGCTCCAAAGTCAAAGCAAACATGATCGAGGATGGGAGATGGTTGTCTGTAGGAGCACTGACAGTACTGACTAGATCAGTCTCTTTATTATTTTTTTATTGCCACTTCAAGCCACACTTCTTTATCAATTTTTTTCTTCCTATTTCAGAGTTTCTACGGACTAGTTTTCTACCATACTACGTTGGCTTCCATTTCTACCAGCCTGAGTGAAGTTCTTGTGGCGTCATGGCTGTTTTGACTCCACCTACTTTTGCCAGTTCCACATCCACCAACATTGAGTCTTCTTTGAGTAAGTACAGTGCATGTTTTGTCTAACTGACTTAATCAGTCTTTTCATATTTATGTAGTGGCATTTCAAGCCTCACTTCTTGATATTGATTTTTTTTCCCAATTTCAGGCTACCTACAGACTAGTCTGTAACAGCGTCAGCTTCCATTTCTGCCAGAGACAGTGAAGTTTCAGTGAAGTCATGGCCAATTTGGACACCACTTACTTTTGCAAATTCTGCAACCACAAAACATCAAGCCTCCTGTCCAAAATTCATCATGCTCATGCTCATCGCCACTTTCAAGTTTCAGTGAAGTCATGGCCAATTTAGTCACCACTTACTTTTGCCAGTTCCACATCCACAAACATCAAGTGTTCTTTGTGTAAGTAGAGTGCACGTTCTGTCAAAGTACTGCCTGAATCAGTGTGCATTTTTTTTTTTGCGTCACTTCATTACTTCATTATATTAATTTTTTTCTTCCTATTCCAGGCTACCTACGGATTAGTTTCCTACTGCATCTGCTTCCAATCCTGTCAGAGAGAGAGAGAGAAAGATTCCAATGGCGTCATGGCTTTTTCACCACCTACTTCAGCAAGCTTTGCTTTCTGCACCCTGTAGTCCTCTTTGAGTAAGTAGAGTGCATATTTTGGCAAAGTACTGAGTGCATCAGTCTTTCTTGTAGTGTCACTTTAAGCCTCTCTTCTTGATATAAATTTTTTTCTTCCTATTTCAGGCTACCTACAGACAAGTTTTCTACCATACTACGTTGGCTTCCATTTCTACCAGCCTGAGTGAAGTTCTTGTGGCGTCATGGCTGTTTTGACTCCACCTACTTTTGCCACTTCCACATCCACAAGTCTTCTTTGAGTAAGTACAGTGCACGTTTTGTCAAAGTACTGTCTGCATCAGTCTTTGCATATTTTTGTATTGTCATTTCAAGTCTCTCTTCTTGATATTAATTTTTTTCCGTATTTCAGGCTACCTACAGACTAGTCTGTAACAGCGTCAGCTTCCATTTCTGCCAGAGACAGTGAAGTTTCAGTGAAGTCATGGCCAATTTGGACACCACTTACTTTTGCAAATTCTGCAACCACAAAACATCAAGCCTCCTGTCCAAAATTCATCATGCTCATGCTCATCGCCACTTGTCAGCTTATTTTCACTGCGGACTTGGTCACTGTGCGTCAACCTTCAAGACCGAAGCTGGATTGAGAATGCACGTTATCAGGAACCACAAGATTTTTGTTTCTCATGCTGTGCGCCCTACTAGTGTGAATATCATCAACCACCTCAATGATGATCTTAAATACCAGTGCCCAATTGTGTCCTGTAGTCAACGGTTCTTCATGTACAAAGAATTTACAAAGCACTTAAAAGATCATCTTAGATCTGGCAAAAGTGTCCCTTGTCCATTTAGTGCTTCCAAAGGCTGTACTAATGTCTCTCAGACATGGAATTCGTTGACTGGCCACCTGTCTAGAAAACATAAGAATGAATGTTGTGAACGCATCCCTGCACGTCCAAGTTTTACTGTTGGGCCCATTGAGCCTCTAGATTCCATTCCTGATGTAGAGACTTTGTTTACTCAAGATGAACTTAACGAGTATTGTGCAACAACTGAAAATAACGTTCAAGGATCACTTAATGAATCTCTTGTTACTGTCGCTCAGTTTTACCAGAAGCTTGAATACAAGCATATGGTTCCAGCTTCTGTGACCCAGGTCATATCAGTAGAAATGAAGACAATGATGATGGATTTGCAGAGATGTATGCTGAGTAGTTTGAATAGTGCATTAGGGAATGAAGGACTCTCAGTGGATTCTATTTCTCGGATTGTTGATTCAGTGAAGGCTGACAGTAATAACATCTTTGAAGTGTGGAGAACTTTAAGGACCACTTACATGAGGAAGAAGTTCTACGAAAATAATTTTTGTTTTGTTGAACCGCTTAAACTCCCTCTTCCAAATGGTTCCACATTCTATTACATTCCCCTAGCTCAAACCATCAAAGCGGCCTTCAGAAACAAATCGTGGTCCTTTGGTGTAAGTTCTTCCTCTCAGCCACATAGTGGACTTTATAAAGATTTCAAAGATGGTTCAGCATTCAAGGAAAACATTTTTTTTCAAGAGAATCCTGATGCATTGCCTCTTATATTATATCAGGATGCATTTCAATGTGTGTGTCCAATAGGTCCTGCTAAAAATTTAAAGCATAAAATATTAGGTATTTATCTGGCATTTGGCAATTTGCCACCAGAAGTAAGATTTAAGAAAGGCTCTATTCAACTAGTGGCCTTATGTAGTGAAAGTGACTTTGATCATGAGGCAATATATGGTAGAATCGTGCAAGACTTGCTTGATTTACAAACTGATGGCATTGATATTCCTGGTGTGGGCTTTGTCAAAGCAGGACTGGCTTTTATTTCTGGTGATAACTTGGGTTCACATTGCCTGGCAGGGATGCTCACCAACTTCAGCCGTGCCCATTACTTCTGTCGTTATTGTTTGCTCACAAGGAAAGTATTTAACAAGCCAGGTGGTGAAGTGCACAAATTTAAGAAGAGAACTGTTGAATCTTATAATCATGCTCTTCATAAACTGAAGTCACTCCCTAAAGCTAAGAGAATTAAGTCAGGGTACCATGGTATCCGTTTTGACTCTGAATTCAACAAGGTTCGTGGGTTTCATGTAATGAATGGATTACCCGCCTGCTCGGGCCATGACTGGGCTGAAGGAATAATCTGCCATGATTTGAAATTGTATATTAAGTACTTTATCTCTAAAGGATGGTTCACCCTTGAGCAGCTCAATCAAATGATTGAAAAATTTCCGTACTGCCCAGAAGATAGGAAAGATCGACCAGTGATCATCAAGAAACTGCAGAAAAACAGAATTGCAGGTGGTGCTTGGCAAGTGTGGAATACCTTACGATTGTTTCCATTAATTGTGCATGGTTATGTGAAGAATGTGAATGATCCAGTGTGGCAGTTGCTGTTACAGTTGAGGGATTTATCCGAATTTGTATTTGCTCCTGAAATTCATGAGTCGTACTTGGCATGGTTTCAATGTACTATCTATGAGTACCTTGCCACTAGGCGCAAGCTTTTTCCTAATGTGCCCTTGAGAGCGAAGCACCACTTTGCGACTCATGCTGCTGAACAGATACTCTTGTTTGGCCCAAGTACAAAAGTTTGGACATTACGCTTTGAAACAAAACATAGCTTTTTTAACAAGAGTTGGAGATCTGCTAATAATAGCATCAATTTTTTAAAAACACTCTCCTATAAACATGAGTTTTTCCAGAGTTGGCTTCGAAGTGGTGGAGGATTTGAATGTGATTTTGGCAGTGGGGCAAGAACCCCTTTAAAGCTGGGACTGTATCCTCAAAATGTCAAAGATGTCCTTAAATCTTCTAATGTGAGAAATGTGGATGTATGTGAACATGTAACGCTGAAGGGAACTTCGTATAAGAAGGGTAATATTGTCATTCTAGGCACAACTTCTCCTATTGGTGATGCTTTCAATGTGGGCATCATTCATTTAATTCTCATTGACTCTCTTGATTTGGTTACATTTTTTGTGAAGAAAGCTCAACTTGTCTTCAAGTACCAAGTAGGGATGTTCAAAGTCAGTGTGACATCAAATGAATACCAGTGTGTTCGTTCCAAAGATTTGCTCTGCTACTACCCCCTCTCTCCTTATGTGAAAGACACTGAGACATTTGTTGCATTGCGACATGCTGTTGTAAATACCCCTGTTGAGTTGTAAATGAATTGAATGTGTGTAGGTTTTATATAGTTTTAATGTGTTTTGTATTTATATTTTCAATCTGGACATACTGTGGAAACACTTTCAACAAATTGACGTTTAAAAAGATTATTTGTACTACACTCATTAATGTGTATTTGACTAGACTTTCCAAAGCTAATAATTGTTTTAATTTGACATAATGCTGTGATAATATTCTGAGGATTAAAAGTATGAACACCAATTTGTTTATGATTTATTCATTGTGTGAACAGAGAGGCCTGGATCCCCATTAAAACATGTAAGCACTCTGATTTGAGAAGTTGAAACAGGGAGCGTCAGGATACGATGCCTGAGTCCCAGACAGAACCATCAACTTATCATCTTTGACACTTGTTTTGAATTAACAGACCTGCTGGCAGCCTGCTGGAAATTAGATGATCATTTAAAAACAATATAAAAAGAAAAGAAAGGAAGGTGATTCTCACCATGCCTTTTGATGCAACGATATTCAATACAAAGAATTTCTGGATGGGAGGTGAGGAGCTATTTGTCTGCCTGTCAAGCTTCTCATTGCCCACTCGCCTTTGCAGCAGTGTGTGAAGTTTTTGAGGAGTCTGTCTGTGTCTGATGACTACGGCTGCTTTCTGATTCAGAGAAATTTTTATTTCTAGTGCTGCAGTCACTGAGCTACAAGCCACAAAGATTGGTTCAACCTTCAGTGACTAAATAACACCAATACAAACTTTGAAAAAAATACCCTTTATTCAAAACAATCCTCTAGGAGAAATAAGATCATGAGATGGCAAACTTAAAGAAAAAGGTAGGTTTTGGTGAGATATTTAAATTAATTTACATCAAAAAGTTTTTATTTCCACTCATGTGTCAATAAGTCAAGGCTCACACAGCTTTAAAAATAGGAGATCACACTATCACAATGAGACATTACATCTAGGCAAATTAAGTAAAACAGCCACGTTAACATACAATATACAAAACAAATTTAAAATAGAATAATAGTTATGTAATTAAAATACTCGAATAATGTCAAATCTGTCTTCTCTTCTTGGCTGCTGGTTGATAGTCTGAGTATGAATCTAGAATAAAGAACAGAATGAAATCAATTGTTATGGAGTTGGTGCAGCTCAAATAATGAAATTTGAAGCACTTACCAGATTCTGAGCTGAAACTGGTGTTGAGCAATTCACTTTGGGCCAAGTCATGTCCGTAAAATTCTACCTTCAGCTCCTCGTTCGGATTGCTATCACCATTGTGCCATTTAATTAGTCTACGATAGTAATCTTTCGCATTAGATACAGCATCCTCTCTGCATTCTGAAATCAGAAAAGATAAGCAAGACAGACACAAGCACAAATTGAATGTACAATTATAGGCCAGTTATGAAACTTACCACCCCATCCTAAAATAATGACAGGTTCAGTATCGATTTCCACAAGATCTCCTGATTCGTGCCAGCGGCCCTTTGAATCGTAATCAGGGATGTGAGTCACTGACCCTCCGTTCAAAAATAAACCTACGAGATGAATGTTCTCAAGAAAAAGGTCGGGCGACATGCTTGCTATAAATAAAATGGGATTGATAAGTACAGAGACGACATGTCATGTTGCTACATCACGCGGAAACGGAGGATAATTCCCAAGCAAGACAACCATTTACAATGATGACCGCTAATTACATTACCTGCTACGATGTTACTTGCGGACGAATTGCTCCTTTTTCTTGAAGCGTTCACGGGTTCACGCGTCTACTGCTGACAGCTGCTGTGCAGCGAAGCGACCATCGGCGACCATCTTCGTTTTCTGCAAGGCTGAAAACATCCACATTTAACAACTGCAGTTTAATCCTCCATTATGTCACTCAATATCACTCAATATTAGGTAAACTTGGCCTCAGTTATATTTTATAATAAACCAAAAATTTAAAAAAAAACACTCCGACTAAAAATTTCCTTTATCGAAACGTATGATTGTAACTTTGACCGTGTTTTTGACCGAAAGCTGAGTGTTGGCCCACCTGTTGCGACCCGTTGCGACGTAGTACGGTACTGGAGCAGATCCTCTTGACATAAAATGGGGCTGAAAATTGGATTTTCCTCATTGTGCGGTGATTCTGACCGTGGTTTGTGTGACTCAAGCTTACATACAGCTGTTTTATTGATTCGTCCAGTTTGGTGAGTAGTCGTTTCCTCCCGCCGGCCCTCTTACTGACTCCAGTTTACTTCTTGTTGAGGTTAGGTCGTGTTGTTGTCTTTGGCCTGTTTGGTCGTGAACAGCGTGAAATTGAAGTGCTCCAAACTACCTGTAGTGAATCATTCAAAAGGGAGGATATTATTTTTTGGGTCGTAACATTTGTCTCTGAACGGAAACTCCATATCTTCAGTGCGCTGTGCTTGCCCGCTGCCTGCCTCAGCCGTCTCGTGTCTACCTCGGTCTAGTGTGCATTTGAACCTCACTCTGGCGTCTCCTTGGTGTTAATTTCATATCTCTCTGCTTTTCAGGCCATGCCTTTGTTCAAAGTGGCTGTGGTGCCCAACAGGAGTAGGAAGATTACCTGTTGTGCTGGATCTATCAGGGAGCTGATTGAGAAGTCCCTGTCTGCACTCTCTGCTGCTGTAGATGCTGATTCTTATGAAGTAAGTGACTGTTTTCCTCTGGTTTGTCTGCGGTAGTGCGAGTGGTGGCTTGAGCTTCCTTAGAGTGAGTTCAAATACATTAATTTTGATCATCTGTTGCAGGCCTATGATGATTCTGATTGCTTGATAGCAGATGACGAATGCTTGATTGCTTTGGCAGAGGACAGGCGGGCGGCAAGAAGTGGGCTGCAGGAGGTCACCTTGGTTCCTCATGGTCAGGCATGGCCTGGTTCTGGCTCCTCAGGTAAGGTTTGTGTAACATTATATGCTGCCTTACGTGGCTCGTTTCTAGCTTTGGTAACTTTATCTTTGTTGTGCAGGTCCTGATAAAGATGTTAACCGACCAGCTTCATCATCGGTTCCTACCATTACCGTCTCTTCTGAGGATGTTGCTTTATTGAGGAAAGCTGTCGAATCCCCTCCTCATCTTAGAACTAGAGCTTTGCTTAGAGCCAAACGCAAAGTAGTGCAACACCTAGTGGACAAGTTAAAGGCTTCTCCTCCTGCACCTGGTGACATTCGCAAGATTTGTGAACGAGTTAAAGTTGCATGCCCCAATGCCTTTGTCTTGGCGATTAGAGAGAACGAGGTGGGAGACTCATTCTTGCCATTCGTCAAGAGTGTCTACAATTCATTGGGGTACGCACTTTGTTGCGATGGATCCAAGGCTAGAAGAAGGAGACGCAGAGCTCAGACAGATGAGGAAGATGCGGATGACCCTGCCTTGCAAACTGTAAGCATATTTTTGTCTTGTCTTTCTGACCATTTCAACTTGTGTGTTGTCTTAATCTGAAAGTTCAATTTGTAATGATTGTTTGTTTGTTTTTAGGTGGTTCTCCATTGCACTGACAGCAACGGATGTGCAGAGGGTATGTGGGGGCCCTCTTTTTCACCGGAAGAGAAGGAACAGTTTGCAAGCATTCAACAGAGCCTTTTGACTGATTACTCAGCTGCACAGTTTGGACCCTTGGACTCAGGTGTTGTCGATTTAGTGAAAGAGTGCTTCCCTCTGACACGTTCCGATATCAATGACGCTAGAACAGCCGCTGATTGGAAGAAAGTGTTCACATCCTGGCCGGTACTGCAGCATTATGAACCTTTCTTAGCCCATGCTAACTTGTTGATGGGCAAAGTCTGTGAAGAAGTGTGGGCTGACAGTTTTGCTGACCCTCTGCCTTTAGTCAAATTCATGACTGACTACTGCTCTCCTGTGGATGGAAAGCCGTGTGCAACAGAACGGCTCACCTCCATGAATCTTTTCTTGAAGAAAAGTGCTGAGGCAGTTGAGCAGAGGGAGAATAATGGTCCTATGAAAGATGTAGCTTTTCCTTTCTTGGTTTACTACTTCAGGGAGAAAATGGATCTTCTCTTCCTCCTTGTTGATGTAAGAACTTGACCAGCACTTTACTTAAGGTGATATGTTTTTAAGTTTGTGCTAACTGTTTCTTCTCAATTCTGTTTAGGCTCACGCAACTATTGTGGAAGTGAAGGAGAAAGTGGAGGCAGTCACGCAGAGCCCAGTTCTTGTGGTTAAAGGTAAGTTACATTTATCTCGCAATTCTTCCAAGCGAGGAAGTTGATTTAATTTATGTCCAATTCTAATCCCAATTTTCTTTCCAGGGTTGTCTATATTTGATCCGAATGCTCATTTTCTAGTGGTGGTTAGAGCTCAATTTGTTATCCAAACGCCAAGTTTTTTGGAGGGTATGCTAACTCTCTTACTAAGCTATTTCGTACTGAACATAGAGTTTCCTAAGGGACTCTTCCGAACACTGGAGTTTATGCAAAGGTAAGTTCCCATCCTACTTCTGTTGGATTTTTTTAAATTTCTCCATTTGAGATCACTGTTAACCAATGTGCTTTGTGTGTGCAGGTATTTCTTACTGGTGAATCCCACAGTGCAGATTCGCAAGGAGGGCCGAGTCAGGACTAAGGTGAACAGCTCTGTGGCGACCCTTGCCAACAAATTGGCTGCATTTGAGGCAGCGCAGAGTCGCTGGATTGTTTAGTGCCTATAAATTGTCCAGTTCTAATTTGTCTAATTGTCTAGTAGTCTGTTCATGAAGTGTTAATTTTCTTGTCTAAGGTCTCTAGTTTATGAATTGTCAAGTGATGAATTAATTTCGTTCTATAAATTTTTACTGAAATGTAGACCTTTTTTTTTATTTATCCTGAAGTACCGTCATATTTTCAGTACCATCTTCTTCCTTAATTTGAGATTTGCAAGGTCTCAATTATTACTCCTGTAGACAGATATTTAGGAAACGTAAAACTGCACTTTAAGAACCTTCCTTTCTTATCTGGAGACCTTCGTGCTCCTAACATTGAGACTGAAGCATTGAATGTTTAGACTTGTCACATCTGGGTATCTGGAGTACCAACTCTCAGAAGTTAGACAACACTGCTCTGAATTTTGAGACCACCACACTGGTATGAGATTTAAGAGAACAGATGTCTTATATTTTAGACCAACAAGATCATATCTTTCAGACCACTCAGGTTTAATATTTCAGACTACCAGCTTCTACATTCTCAGACCATCACTTTCCAAGTTTTCAGACCCTTGAACTGGTCTGAAATTTCAGAATCGCTTACTGTTAATTGACTTCAGTCAAATTTAGTCTGAAATTTCAGATTTTTTTTTTAACAGTGTAATCTTAATTTATTTTAATTGAGCAGATAATGGCAAAAGATGTTTGCACACAAATTATATCCTTTATGCTGATAACAAGAATTTTGTTCTTCTTCGACAAATTGCCGCGTTCTATATTCAACGCCTTTTCTTGCTTTGGTTCATGCTTAAATTCTATGTTATGGAACGACTACAATTTTACTCATCTCATTGTTTCTGTCAGACCATTTCTTAACACTGCACCCAATTAATTTTTGTACATTGTTACTTGGTACTTCGTACAATAATTGTTGAACAAAAAATGCTAGGAATTTTTGTAGGCCTGTTTTTCTTTTTCTGGCAGTAAGTGTACTTAAAGTATAGAGCACAATAAAGCCTACACTGAAAAATTAAGTTATTTCTCTGTACTCGATTTAGTTCCTTGTGTGTGTATTAAATACTCACGTTAGTGCTCAACATGTCAATTCAGTGCACGCACACTATGGTGCTCAATTAAAGTACTCACTAAAGTTTTCAGTGCACTTGCAAATTACCTTGCTGTTGCGCACTGAGACGTTTATTCGGCGCCACAACGTTTTGGCTTGACGGTCTCCGGTTTCTCTCTTGAAGTAGGCCAACAAATCGGACAGCTTGCCGCTAGCTTCGTTCATCTACCCAGTTATCATCCAACATAAAAGAAACTTGGGCTTGAAACTGCCTGGTTTGACGACAAACCAAGTGTAATAAACATAAATATTTACGAATTATGACTTACTTTTCTGGAAGTTCCTGACGGGCGGTAAATAATGGGTTGTGGCTAGCAGAATTTTTTAATAAACGGATGGGGACCCCTCTGACGAAGCACAAGTAGCCATGGTGTTTCTCGTGCGGCACAAATTATAAGCATCTGTAGAACTGTCCGTCGAAATGCTCAACTTTCCTCGTCTAGGACGTCCTTGCTTCGGTGTTCGTTATGTACACGCTTCATCTACTTCCCCCACCGACCCAAAACTAGGTCTGATGCTCAGGTAAACCAGGGATACATATTTGATGTAGTAATTGGCTGAGTGCGTGGACACGTGGAGTGAAGAGGCAGAAGCAATTTCGTATCCCGTCTTAGAGGTAATGGCCACAACCCACAGAGACCGGCCCTGTTCGGCGTAACGTTTTACTCTTATTCCAGGAACGAGCACGTCATGACATCACGTTGAATCGAATGTGACAAAACTGTCCCCTTCCTTTAGGCATTGTGTCACAATCGTTTGTGTAAATCAGCCATAAGTTAGCTTATTCACATTCAAACGAATGTGACACAATGCTCAAGGGAACGTGGTATTTTGTCACATTAGTTTCGATGTGATGTCACGTTCCTGGAATGATGGAACCCACGCAAGAGATAATTAAGAGGAACCGCAGTGACCAAGGAATTCTACTTCCCTAGTTATATACTGCAGTTTAGAGGGATAAAACTTCATGTACTACTTTCCAGCTCTCTCCATGATGACTTTCGCTAGAACGCTGTCATATTCAGCTAAGGTTTTACCACGGATCAGGCAATCGTCAAATTGGAACCTTCTTTACCCAGTGCCCTGAAACACCTGTTCAGTCAGGAACTGGGGCTATGTTCAAACCAAATGGAATTTTCGTAAATGTGTACAACCCAAAAGGTGTTGAAGAGATGCAAAGGAGACTTGACTGTACGTTCCAAAATCCATCCTTCAGGTCGAGTACACTGAAGAATGTCCCTCATGGAAAACAGCACTCAACATGTTAATCGCACTCAACAGGTTAGGGCGCATAAGCAATCAACAAAAGCAAAACATCAAAAACAGTAAACATGGCTACTCTTCTTGGCCAAACGAAACGTTCAAATTGTTACTTTTGTGTGCATTTCGTCTCGCCGCGGACAACGATAGTCTGTGTCTGTCATGTTTTATCGTGTTGCAGTACTTTCGAAAGGCCAGAGTGCTCTCGGTTCCGGCTGTTCCCTTGCTCAAAGGTGACGGTAACTTCCTCCACCTCATCGCTAGCATCATCTATCTCCTCCTCAACGGCTGGAGTAACCTGAACCTCCTCCTGTGCACCCTCGTCATTAGTCGTCCATGCTGAGAAGGCAGCGAGAACGAGATCCATCAGACTACCGTGCGTCTTACCTGGAGTGTCTCCTGTCTCCTATCTGTGACAGGCTTTATCGAGGGTGCTGCAGAAGGCGCCACATGCGAGGATGATACAGTAGGCTCCACATACGAGGATGATGCAGCTGCAGGCGGCAGCGGCCGAATGGTCCTGGCCGGAGGCAATGCAGCGCCAAAACCACAGCCCATTCCCGCGTCATCGGCCCTCTGGTGGAAGCGGACTCACTGTGTCGGCTGAAAAACTGTAAAACATGGGTCAAGAAAACGGTCAAATGGTCCAAAAATCGAGAAAAGGCCGATTAAAAGACCGTGCGTCTTACCTGGGGTGGCTCCCGTTCCGTCTCTCTGCCAGGCTCCTCGTATGCAGCTGTAGGCGGCAACGGCCGCATGGTCCTGGTCCTGGCCAGCGGCAACTCGGGCACGAGTTGTGCCCTCACTCTCATTCCAGGAACGTGACATCACGTTGAAACGAACGTGACAACATGTCACGTTCGTTTGAGCATTGTGTCACATTCGTTTGGGCGTGAATTGGCCAAAAATCAGCTTGTTCACATTCAAACGAATGTGACACAATGCTCAAACGAACGTGACATTTTGTCACGTTCGTTTCAACGTGATGTCACGTTCCTGGAATGAGAGTGCTGATGTTGAGATGACCCCTGTAGTGTGTCGGTCGTTGGTCTCGACCTGTCACCAGATCCAAGGGTTCGAGTGGGTCATTAGCAGGACTGACGGTGGCCGCCTAGCTGGTCGAGAGGCCCCTCTTGAGGCTTCCATTGACAGTCACTGCCCCAATCACGTTCTGGTTGCTGCATTGAAGGGACAGCTGCCAAGCGAGGATTCTATTTCCGTAGAACCTGCATGTTGTGCGTCGGGTACCGGCTGCGATACTGCAAAACAATGACCAAAGGCACACAGAGAAATTAAAGTCAAAGAACCTTAAAAAAATCAGCCAAAGAAGTTTGGCTAAGTGATCTTGCGAGGCGGGGAAGAGCTTTAGGCATGGCGAATGCGGCGCGGGAGGTTGAATTGCCATTAGTCCAATCAAACATGGTGTTTATGTCACGGACAACTTTGCTGGCTTTTTCCCCATCTCTGACACCACTAGGGCCAACATTTTCCAGCAATGTTGCATTGGTTTCACTAAATGATTCGGCTGAGCGCCTCACTCATTGCTTACGCCTGCCTTGTGGATCAAGATGTTCATCAGATACTTTTCGGGTGAAAGATGATGAGCCAGATTAATGAGTCACTGTTTGAACTCGTTAAAATGCAGTTGGAACATGACTTCTTCACCATCCACATCTATAGGCCATCCCATCCATCCTTCAGCATGGACCTCCAGCACTTGATAATGCGTGAAGGATCAAATGTCATAATAATACTCCTTCCATTAACAGAAAACTGGCCAGAAACAGTTTTTCCATTCACCACCACTGGGTAGAGAAACTGCAAGGTGTTAAGAGAAGACATATTGGGTGATCCTTGATCGCAATATGTGACGAGTACCTGAAGGCCAATGTCTTGGAGAGCTTGAATTGCCTTTGGAGTAATACTTTCCAATTCAAAATGATATGCCAGGCCAGCAGGAAAGAAAAAGGCAAATGGAAACCTCCAATAATCTAAAATGCCTTGGACCAGAAACAGTAACACTTTCGTGGCAAGTTTTTCAGTTCTGTCTCCATCACCGAAATCTTCTAAACCAATTATGAGGCCCGGGCGTCGACAGATTGAAACAAATTCTTATTTATGCGTCAAGTGGCTATGCCAGCGTGAATTTGGCATCACCAAAATATCTTTCTAGTTACACGCTTTAGTTTTGACGCACAAATTATGTACCTATGGCGAATTGGACGCTCAAATTACGCTCAAATTATTGGCGTATAGCTTTTTAATTGTGCGTCAAGTGGCTATGCCAACTTTACGGAGGTCTCCCACCTTGCCTGCCAGCTTGCCAGCAATGTCCTCTGCTTTCAGATCCTGAGGCACTTGATTTTTCCTGCGGTGTTCTTTGTACTCTTCTAATCCCTCTTCCTTTTCTTCGGGAGTTTTCCTATTACAGTCAAAACATATTTCACATTAATCTTTTTTGGGTTTAAAAATTCTGATATTTAATCCTGGTGTGTTACTAAAAGCATCCAGGTAAATTCTGTAATTGACAGTAACAGTTGTACCGACACAAGGCAATTGGGTAACTATGTAGATGTTATGATCGGGAATACGTTGACAGTCAATGTCAATCAGTAAATCAAACATAATTCAAAGCTGTTAAACACACTTCACAATGAGATAAGGAATAATGCAAACTGTGATAATCTACGGTTGACATGTGAAACGTCCAAGGTAAATTTAATTTAAGCAGAACGACACTGCTACCAGTGATTGACAGAAGTTGAATACCTGAGTGTGGGGGTTAAAGGATGAGAATTACTTTACACTGACATAAATTTGCCAGTGTAGGGGAGAGATTAAGTAAAGCTGACCTTTGGATTGTTAATTTAAATTAACCCTATAGAATATAAAATAGAAATGTCACTTACTTCGAAGGGAGGTACTTCGTTGATGTTGAATATGCAGCTACAGTCTGCTACAGTCGGAAGCAGTCGCAAACGGCAAGTGGCTGGGGCTGGCACCGGAATCTGGCCGGAATCAATGGACCCAGGTAGGGTAATTTTGGCGGAAGTTCTTCTTTAACAATATGTTGTGAAGTGTCTCCATGCTAGACATTTAACCCAAGTAACCTATGAGTGTAGAAAACTTCGGCCAAAAAACAACGCTGCCAACCTTCGGAGCGCACGTTTTCTCGAAAAGTAATTGATCTCCAGGTCCAGGTATTCTGTACAGGATACTTGACACATATATCTAGTTCACACCGTCGCCCTGTTTTGAAAGTGAGTTCCAGTTTTTTATAAACACGGCACAAAAGTGCAAAAAATAAAGTATTGACTCTCTATTTTCACTTTTCAGCCTTATTTACAAAAAACTGGAACTCACTTTCAAAAAAGGTCGACGGTGTGAACTAGAGTCAGGGCGGGGAAGAACTGGACGTTTTGCAATCTTTCTCGATTTTGACTCTAATTGACTATCTTTAGCCAATGTATCCGTTGGGTCTGTTGATCGAGCCTCAAAGAAAGACATTTCAACCCTCAGCGAGTGCGTTTGCGGCTTCATTCAGTAATGAATGAGAAAAAACAGTGTGCGATTCTTCCCCGTCGAAACGGGGAAAAATCGAACACCTAAGGGGAAAAATCGTACATAGGCTTTAATTTAACAAAAACCTATGAAAGTAGGTCAGAAATCTCTTGGGAACGATATGTGGGGGTGACACTTGCGATACCCACTGAAGCAGGCGCACGAGTATTCCTAGGTAGACAGAAATCATCGTAGCATTGTTAGGGGGTCTGTGGCGGCACGTTTTTGAGGTTAAATGACCAAAATGAATGAAATCGTCAACAACCGTGTTTGTTTTCCCACTAAATGTTGGGAAATGCTAAAATACACTTGTTACCACCACTTTGGTGGGATGTTAGGGCAATTCATCGATTATTATAGAAAAAAGAGGTGTTCGATTTTTCGCCGCACCAGTGTAAGGTTTTTCCCCGTTTCGTATTTAACCCTTCATATGTAATCCAGCTGGAAATCTGCTAAAACATTTGAACGTATCTTGGGCTCCATACTTCCAACTTTCGTTTACAATAAGAATATTCGTCACAGTAGGCTCGGAAAGTCGTTAAAAAGAGATATTGCGGGCACCAACTTTGAAAGTTTTTAAGGTGTTTTGAACGAGACCTCGTTTAAAGGTGACTTTGAATACTTTCCGGT